AGTTAACATACATTTTAAAAAATATGTTGAATTATGACATACTGAACGGTTAAAAACTTACCAAACTGCAGTGACACCAAGTGAATAAGGAGACAGGAAGGGGAGGATGAGAATAAACCACTTCCATGGAGTGATGATCAAAATCTAACCAGGTGGAGATGAAAGTTAATAGTAGAGATAGGAACATAGGAAGCTCCTGTCTGTTGATTCAGACCATTGATTTATTTAGCCCAAGACTGTTTATCTGTTGTTCGTTTTACTAGGCTTACAGGTGAATCCAAGATTGTTAATAGTAGTGGCTTGAAAGTAGGTTTTCCATACATACTGGAGATCTTGGAGTAATCAGGGATTGAACCTGGGACCTTCTGCACAAAGCCATAAGCTCTACTGTGCCAACAAGGTATGGTGGAGTTTGGATAAGCACTAGGCCGGAAGAGTGAACAGCCCAAAGGTAGACACTGAGTTGCTGTATTCTGGCCCCTGGGAACTATCCTGATGGTGCTACTATGCAGTTTGGCATCAGAATTTGGTGATATCATTTGATTGCAAGCAGCCATTTTAGTAGTGATAGGAAATCAAAGGAAACCAAATATATATATATGAGGCTGGGAGAGAAGGCAATGCATATGTGCCAGTATGAGTTGGCACAGCTTTGGAAGTGGGAGATAATCTCCACTTCACTCCATTTCCCTGACTTAGGGTGGCGTTGCCAGCTACAGCTGTCCAGCAACACAAAAGTGTAAGTATATTTATATGTGTGTGTGAGACAGACAGAACAGTGCCATATATTTTTTAAAGAGGTTATATAATAAAAAAAACAAGGTCTGTTTATTTTGTCCCCACCCCCATCAAGCTTTCAGGCCTTCATTTAACTTCCCATATACCATATGCAGGACATATCTTGAAGACATTAGCCATCATTACTAAATGTGAATTGCCAGAAGGAGACTCAAGTTTATTTGTAATGGAGACACTCCACATTTGGGTGAACGCTACAAATGGCTGAACATTTGGTGCCCTAGGCAAAACTTTCAGAGAGAGTTCATATGGTTTTGCTAGTTGTAATCAGCACAACTCAAATTATCCATAATTTGGTTTTCACGGTTGGGTCTTAGATCACCCAAAATCAAGTATAATTACTACCACAAAGGAGAATTCTAGATGCATGTCAGGACATTCATGATGGACTTATGACACACTAGAAAAAGGTTCTACAATTACTAGGAAATTATTTAAACACATTTTATTGTTTTTTCCTCAAAGGCATGTGAAATTGCAGTGAGTAATCACAGGAACTAAGGTAACTGGCTATTAGTTTTTTGTGTTATTATGGTATTAATAGAATTGTCAACTTTTTTTTTTTTTTTTTTGCCTAGAGAGCATAAAAGTGTCCTTAAAGAATATAGGAAGGATAAGGCAGGCAGGGAGTGGGGAAAACTAAACAGCAGGAAGAAAATAAAAACTTTTGCTGTAGTGGATGGATAATAATAATAATAATAACAATAATAACAACAACAACAGAGCTGGGAATATCAATATCCTGCTCTTTTGTAAAGAATATTCTGCCCACATACCAGCTTTCCCTAAACTTTCACAAGTTTATTTCCCTAAACTTGTGAAATATATTGGGGCTGCAATTTCCAGAATTGGTTCGGAGTTGAGGATGTTTATTCTACTTGCCCCTCAGTTGTTGCAGCATTATATCTTCCAGCATTCATCACCATTGTCCTAGTGCAATACATTCATCTTATGCTCCTTACAGCGTCCTTCGCTCTCAGCATCCTCAGTTGACAGTGCTGAAATGTGATGGCAATGTTGCCAATTGTAAAGAGGAATTTTCCAACTCCAACCTCATAGGTGCCACATAGGTGTATTAAGGCTTAACGTACTTATTTCATATTTCAACCATCCTAAACATGCAAAAGGACAGGAAGGCCTGGCGCAATATGGTTCATGGGGTCACGAAGAGTCGGACACGACTTAACGACTAAACAACAACAAAACATGCAAAAAGCCAAGCCAAGCCAAAAAAAAAAAAAAAGTTAAATAATGTCTGCATTTTTGGATTCATCTCCCAGTGACATCACTTTATCCAACTCACCCTGATGGTGCTAGTCTATACCTAACTGATTACTGCATGCAAAAGTAACTTCTAAAGATTGTTATGGTTGGCCTATGGTTGCCAGATTCATCCCAAATCTAATACCATCTTTTTCAGGGGATATTCTAGAATGCACTTATATGTCTGTCTTGACAACCAGTCTATTGAGTCCCCTAAATAGTCTTCAAATAGCAATTACCTCTTTTCTCAAGATTAAAAGAAGCTTCTTATCTTCAGAGATTCATAAATCTTCCTCTCTCATGTTTTTTAGAAAATCTTTAAAAGCAGTTTTATTTCACCCAACAATCAACCCCATTGTCCCTATCTTGGGGAATGGAGAGTAATTACTCATTCATTAGTTAATACTGTTTTGTTTTTATTTATAATTTGATGTATTATCATTCTTTTATCATTTTAATGTATTCTAACCCTTCCAACCCCTCAGTCTTTTGATTTGGGTAAGCAATAAAAACTGTGAAATCAGTCCGTCCATCCATCCATCCATCCATCCATCCATCCATCCACCTACTTGATGATAACTTATCATGAATTTTAATTCCCCATTTCTTTCAAGGTGTTCAGAATGGTATACAAGGATGTTATTTCCATTTATCCACCCAACAATCCTGAAGATAAACGGGGAGAGAATGACTGATTGAGGGTCATTAAAAGATTGTGTCTCCCATTTATGTCAATTAGAGTGTATTGCTTTTGGACCCCTGACTTTCGATGTGGGTGACTAGGAGTAGGGCCTTCCTGGTGGCAGTGCTGCAATTATAAAGGTACCACCTGAAAGAAATATGGCTGACAAAAATGTGGTATTGTTTTAAACAATTAAAAACAGGCCTGTTCACCAATGTGTATTTCCAAGATTATAACTGTTCCAGGACAAGAATTTTTCAAAACATGAATTCTTTTTAAGTAATGTTATTGTTTTGTTGTATTATTATTATTATCAAAATTTTATTGAATATTTGAATTGGATTTGTACATGGAACTGAACTCCTTTGGGAGTAAGTGAGGCATAATAACACCATCAACATCCTTATCATCATCTACTATGCAATACAGGCTGAATTAATCAGGCTAAAATAGTTTCTTGAGAATTGCAAATCTGGAAATGGACTTTTAAAATATTGTTTTAATGGAATTACTTGTATTTGTGAAAATGAAAACATTGTTATCCTCTGGACAGTAAATTAAGCCATCCAAATTCCATCTTCTTGCTATCCCCTGTCCTTGCACTGTTAAAATACTACAAATGACAAATGATGTAAATTTGCAAAATGTCATAGTTCACAGTCTCTTTTTTCCTTCCATACTCCTTTCTTAACCTGGTGCCCTCCAAGTCAGTTGGGAGTTACAACTGTTATAATTCCCAGTCAATATGGCCAAGATGTCTTTAAGTGATGGCGACTGTACACAAACACATCTGGAAGATTCTGTTTAGAGAAGGCCGCTCTACAATATAAGAATAGTTCATTTTTAGCTGTAGCATAAACTGTTCCATCAGAGTCTGAATACAATCAATAATGACTAAATCCTTTTGTACGATATTACAACATTGTATTTGATAGTGATATCAAATTGTATTTGATAATCCCTAAAGATTAAATAACTATCCCACCCTGGGTCTTTTTGTAACAATTCTATGACATCAGATGGGTCACATTAACAATGCTGTGTTTATTGCATCCTGTACAGGCCACATATTTGCAATCACCAGTTCAAAATTCTTAGTTAAATATGTATTTGTTAACAGTATATTTTAATTTTTTATATTACCCTTTGATATAAATTATTACAAAAATACAAATAAAAGCTTATTTCTATTCAATCTTGTTTTTTCTGGATTTTTTTAGTAGTTTAAAGTCAAGAAAACATTTCAGTTTTGTCTGGATAATTCTAGGCACTTTTCATTCTGTTCTTTTTCTTGAAGTTAAAGTGAAAGTTTAATGCCTCTATTAACACTCATGAATCATTGCCCTTGCCAACACTCAAGATAAGAAATACTGTGATGTTTTGAAACACTTTCCAATGAAGTCCGGGTTCATACCAGCAGAAAGAGCACTTATCGTCCAACTGCTATTGAATGACCTCTACCTAGATTCTGAATAATTAAAATTCTGATTAGAATCAAAATATTGATCAGATCGCTATCGTTAGCCCCGATTGGACCTTCAATTTCCATATCACCTCCTGGGCGTATTTGTGCGCCCATTTCGTACGTTTGCACAAGCGGGCTTGGTTTTCTTCCACCCTTCATCTCTTTCGCCTGAGATGGCTCCAGGGCTTTTGTTGGGGCGGCACGATGGACTGAGACCCGCCTGCAAAGCGCTCCGCTTCGCTCGGCTCTCCGGCCCAGAGAGAGGCGCCCCCGGTCTCTTTTCCCAGCCAATCCGCCCCGCCCATCCC